GCACGTTTCGGGGGGCAGCTCCAAGTTGCATGAGGCCCCGCTGCCTGGCGTGCTGGGTAGTGTCAAGTCTCTTCCTCGACGTTTCTCAGACCCCTGCTCGTTGGCAGGCACGGTCCTGGAAGTGAGAGGGTGGCAGGGGCGGGGGCTGCCATCCGGGTTGCTGCTTCTGGACGGCCACTTGCCAGTCCAGGAATCGCCTTGTTGGGTAGGGGGCCCTTCCCCAGCCCACCCCTTTGCAGGGTCATCTGCCCCTACGGCCCCCCAGGGAGATGGGAAGAGAGGAGGGCGCCCAGAAGGTGTTGGGGACATGTGGCGGATGCTGGGTATGTCTTTGGTGAGGGTCCTGGCTCCTGCTGCGGCTCAGATAGAAGGTTCAGAGAGTGATGACCAGCGTGGAAGCTCTACCCAAGAGTTATTAAAAAATAAGTCTGTTACCCTCCTGCCCACAGCCGGATTGTTCAAGGGCCTTCGGTTGGCACCCCTCTGTTACCCCCAGCTGTTTCCATTCACTGCTCCTCTGAGTTTCCTCTTCACGACTAACCTTTAAAACAGCAAAGCCAACTCCCCAGTGTGGCATCCAAGGCCTCCAGCCCCATCTCCCCCACTCCCTGGCTTGCAAACCAGCCACAAGCCACTTGCATCTTCCCTGTCGGCTGCCTGCCCCCAAAGCTCGGAGCCCTGGTCCTTGGGAACACCCACTAGGTGAAGAGCTGCAGCACTCTGAAGGCAGGGCTTTTTGCCTCCTTTTTTTCTCCAGTTGTTCAATGAGTGAAATGAATTCCTTCAAAACCCTCAGCTTTCCCAGCATAAAAGTTGATGCTAATTGGATCTTATTTTCTTCAAAAGATTCTTTCAGCGGCTGAATGTTTTCACACATTTGTAAAAGGTACAAAGAACACGTATGCAGATCTATCACTCTTTTCTGTTTGCAAATGTACTGCAGACAACTGCAGGGCTTTCTAGCAGGGGCCGAATCAGCGGGCAGCTTCCTAGATGAGGAACGTTAAGCTGTACCTGGCAGATGAAACTGGACTTCCACAGGCAAACAAACGGGGGAGGCATCCAGGTGGGGACAGGCCCGGGAAGAAAGCGCAGACCCAGAGTGTCCACGGGGCTCTGAAGCCAGTGTGAGAACAGAGGGGGAGAAAACGGGTGACGGTGGTGAGCTGGGGAGTCTGAGCCCCTCCGTAGACCTTTGCAAACTGTGGCAGGATCCAGCGATGTTTTAGAAAGCAGGATCCTGGCAGTTCTGTGTACAGGGAGTTGGAAGGGGAAGGAAAAGTGTCAGTGGACAGATGATTTCGTAAGTCTTTCCTTTAAATGGCCCCAAGAAAGGATGAACAAGATGATTCAATTCAATCACATTTATTGAACACTTATTCCATACAAAGCAAGAAAAAATGGTAGATACTTGCTAGAAGCAGATATTACGGATTCTGGTTTTAAGCTGTCCCTGACTCGAAGAAGTCCAAACTAAACAACGTTAAGGAATTATTCCACTTTAGATGCCTGCCAGTTTCCTCAAGATGTGGCCTGTGACAGATACAAATATCTTCCAGGAAAGCGCTTTCCCCTTTTCACGGCACTTTACAGCCTTTACCACAAATAAGACAGGCAGTACTTCGTTTAGATAAAATTTTATAAAGGTATTCATCCACAGATGCATATATATTTCACTGCCAATGAAAAATTCGCCTCAATTAAATTTTCTTTAAAAAAAAAAAACAAAAAACAACTTAAAACAACTCACCGGATCTCTAATGCAATCCAAGAAGTAACTTATGTTTTTTGTGGCTTGAGACTCTTTCCAGACTGAACTGGGTGTTCAGACTTACTTTAGGAGTTGAGCAAAAGACTAAAAACTTCTGGAAGAAATCAGAAGAAAGTTTCCAGGACTTATTAGGAAGTTCTGGGGCACAGCTCACAGTCTAGACACATCTCTGAAATCACAGCATGTACGACGGCCCTAGGTGTGTGAACTGCTCTTAGATGTTCACTGCATCCCGTGGTTCACCTGAATAAAAGTCCCCCAGTGCCTGCTTAGACGCAACTGGTCATTGTGCGTCCCCAGATTCCGTCACATCTGATGTGAGAAGGAAGCCCTGGTCCCCTGGGAACACTTGTTTCATCTTTCTGGCGTTTTCATTCATTCACTCATTCAACATATATTTATTATCAGCTCTGAAGTGCTGTAGGCTGAGTCAGGCTTTGGGAATACAAGGGTGTGTGTGTGTGTGTGTGGTGTGTGTGGTGTGTGTGGTGTGTGTGTGTGTGTGTGTGTGTGTGTGTGTGTGTGTGTGTGTGTGTGTGTGTGTGTGTGTGTGTGTGTCAGGAGCAAATACAGCAGTAAAACCCAGAACTCCAGTCACTGGGAGCTGACTGGGTTTGGAGGAGATGCTGGAGTTGGTTCTTGAGGGTGGGCTATGTGCCAGGCAGGCTGGTCCTTGACAAGGGCCCAGAGTACTAAAGGGCATAGTCCATTCCGGAACCGTCAAAAGCATGTGTGGCTGCACGTTATGTGAGCGTGACGTGTACGCTGAGTCATGGAGTTTGGACTTGACCTTGTGGGCAACTGAAAGCCTGGGGAAGTGCCTCAGAAGGAATAACGTGAAATAGAGGCAGGGCTCGTTCCTGGTGGAGAGTGACCTGCTGCTTCACGTGCCCAGAGGAAGCAGAGGGCGGCTCAGCTCCAGCCCGCTTCCTCCCCGGCGCCGTCCTGGAGCGGCTGACCTAGAAGCGAGCCCCCGTCCAGCCAAGATGGCAGCAACACTTGCATGACCCCCAGACACTGCCTGTGCTGGAAATGTTTGCTTTCCTGGACATCAGGGAGTGCCTCAGTCAGACTTAGTAAATATTGTGTTGGACACACCAACTAGATTTGCACTCAGCATTCCCCAAAGGATTGAAAATGAACTAACTGCCATGAAAATCGCATTTTTCTAGATGCTTAAAATGCACTAACTTATGAAAAAGTTGAAAACCCAGTACGATGAACACTGATACACCCTTTAACCATATTCATATACGTGTGTGTATTTTTTCTTCCGCACCATTTAAAGCTCCTTGTGTACACTTAACCCTAAATACTTCAGGGTGTATCTCTTGGGAACAAGGACACTGGCCTACAGTCACAATAATATCCTGATCACACCCATAGACATGTACCAGTGAAGCAATGCTATTACCTAATCCACAGTCCACACTGGAATCTTTCATTGTCCCCAAAATGTCCTTCATGGCCTTTCCTTCTTAAATCAGAATCCAAATCAAGACCAGGCATTCCGCTTGGCTGTCAGGCACCTTTCCTCTCCTTTAATCCAGAACAGTCCCTGCCTTTGTCTTTCCTGATGTTGAAATGTCTCCTCGAAGGCCCCACAGTCCCGACTCACCTGATTGTTTTCTTATGATTAGATTCGGGTTAAACGTTTCTGGCAACAATACACATTGTTTCCCATGGCACCTCATTGGGAGCCATGTGACCTGGTACGGTCTCCAGTTTACCGGCCAAGGCTGGTGACTCAGTGTACGTGGGGTCTGCCAGATCTCTTCATGATAAAGACATAATTCCCCCATTGTAATTAATAGAATTAAAAGCAGATCCCTCTCTATCACGTGTGGAGTGACACTCTGAGACTCAGGATGTGCGGCTTCCTGACAACCTACCCCCCAGTGGCCTTTGTACCCAACGATGGTCGCTGTCTGCATTGAGCACTGGTGGCAGCATGCTGGTTTCCTAACGCTCCCATTCCTTCTACACTCAGCACCTGCTGTTCCTGGGCACAGAGGACCTCCCCGCCTCCCGCCTCCCTCCCCTCCCCCCTCCCCCCAGCACTGGCTAACTAATTTGTGGGGTCCGGCACAAAAATGAAGATGCAGAACTTCATTTTCAAGGAAGAATTTCAAGATGGTGCCCGGAGAGCGTTAAACCAAAAGTGGGGCCCCTGGACTGCAATGGCTGCACGCCCACGCAGCCGCCATGCGCCCCACTGGGTACATAGCTGGATGCACTTTTGAGGATCACTGGTCCCAGTTGCCCCACGCTGGCCAGCTCCTGTGTCTTTCCCACACGTCCCTATCAGTCTCTCAGTACTTCTATCCTTTCTGGAACAATAAGATGATCCCCAGGCTCACGCTGTTCCTTCCTTGCCCCAAATGTAGAGTCAGCCATTTCTCCAAGGGGCCCCTGTCTTGTGAGTCGGGGGAACCGGTCTTTAGGAAGCGATAGCTTGCTGCTTAGACACCCAGGTCTCACTGCTCACAGGTGCACAGTTTCTGGTCCTTTTAGGGCACAGGAGTTGGATTTGTTTTCTTCTTGAGCCCTCCCAACTCGAACCCCACATTCCTCGCCTGCCCCTATTCCACATGGGTGTCCCCATCTCCCTGAGAACAAGGTTCCAGTCACCCATCTACAAATATTCACTGGCTCTTTCCTACACCAAACAGCCTCCACTCCTGACAATAAGCCTACTACATGAAGTTGAACAGTTCTCCACTTCCTTTTTTGTTGTTCTTAGAATGCATTCCACTCATATATTCAAAATTTGCTTGATTTTCATGTGATCTAGCCATCCGATGTACATCTAGATTCCATGTGTCTGTCTGTATTCAACATAAGGGTTTGCTGTTTTCATTTTTTTTTACACTTCTGTTTTTTGACGATGTAAAACGTTTCTATGGTTCAAAAATCGAAACCGCAAGAAGGAATGCTCAAAGGACTCTGCTGTCCCTTCCATCCCTTTCCACAGGTCAACATTTTTATTAGCTTTTGGTTTATCTTTCCTGTTTTCTTTTCTGAAAAGAAACACAAGATCATATATATTCATGGATCTGACACAAGAGACAGCACATTGCATGTAATCTTTTGCACTTTGCTTAAAAAGCACATTTTGTAATCTCATCTAAAGCACTGTGTTTCTACCTTCCGGTTTGGGTGGGACGAGAGAATGTGTTAATAAAAATGTGCTTTTGGAACCATTTATTAGCAACAAAAAGCATTCCTTCTAACATCAGTTTGGAGGACTTCTCGACAAAACGAGGGGGCCGAACGAGTTGCTGTTGGAGGTCCCTTGCCGTTCTAGAAGCCTGAATTATCCTCCCAGGCAGGGCACAGTGTCAGGCAGTAATAACCCTCATGTCTCGGGAACGAAATTCCTGTTTACTTCTGCACACCAGCAAAATTATTTTTGTGGTTGCACAAGTGTTCAAGGACACCCCAAAGACCTGGAGCCTGAGGATGGGGCGCCACAGGAAGGGGAAGAGAAATGATTAACAGACCAAATGGGTTCCACATTCCTTGAAACAAACAGCATATGAAAATGGAGATGTATAGAAAAGCAAAGCGAAGGGGAAATGTTTCTTTAGATCGAGAAATCTTTTCTTTAGGAAAAACCTTCACTTATAGGATCCTTTTAAGCAGTATGCTTCTCTAATACATTGAAAATGATTCAAAAACCTGAGTCATATTTTTTTTTCCAGAAACACCCTTTGTAAAACAACACGTCTATCTGTAGTACCTAAATGTGGGTCTTTTAAAATGTAAGAAAGGATTGCTGAGGGCTTTGGCAGCTGATCAGTGTGAGAAAAGGCTGGGGGAAGGAAGAACTAACCAGAAATTGTTAGTTTTTTAAAGGGCCCTGAGAAGGAAATTTAATCGTTTTTTCCCTCACTAAATATGGAAGGTTCCATATTTCAGACTGGTTCATAGTTACGGATGAAAAGTACTGAAATGGAGCAACCTGACTTATACTACAATGCAGGTTAAAATGCTCGATTTGAAATAAGATCACTTATCCTGTCTCAATGATTTACAAAACTCGAGTGACATTATAACCCAAACAGAGTAAAACAAGCATTCCAATCAGGTCTGTGGTTCTCCCAAGGTCTTCATAAATTCAGTAATACTTAAACATGACCAGTGAGAGCCATAAAAAGACATTTTGAAGTCTTTTTCTTAACACGCTGGGAACAAACAGTAAGTGGGTACTATCGAGTGCTCTTTATAACACGTGACTTGTTACATTATAAACTGGGCAGCACATGAAACCTAGTGCATACATCGGAGTTCCCCTCTTCATTTCCCTTTAATGAGAAGCTACTTTCCATTTCCCAATACTTGGGGGGGGGGGGCATAGAAAAGGGAGGATGGGAGGTGAGAAGGAAACAGGCATCTGTCAGGACCAGTGCTCTCCAGGTGGGCTGTGGAAACCTGAGGGGACGGACAGACAGGGATGGCGGCCAGCTCGGGGGCTTACCTAGACAGGGTTCGTGATCTGCTGGGGTGCCTGCACCGTTGCTGAGGGCTTCTGCAGTGCACTGTTGTGAAAAACACATGATGTAGGCCTCCACGAGGTACGATGGAAGTGCTGAAGTTCTGTGCAAATTTAATTATTAGCATGAACTGAAGGTACTGTCATTGTTTAACTCAGCTGACCTTTTAAATGGATAACCAACCTTGAGGCTTAATCGGATTAAAAAAAAATCAATTTCTACCCATTGCCTAGTGTGGAAATGAAGGGCTACATTCTCAGGCAATTGTAAAATCACTTTTGCTAAGACTATTTTTTTTTTATTATTTACAACTTCAAAATGACCTCCATCTTGGTACGCATTTTCTGTGTACACACACCTTTTATAAATAAGCACACACGCGTGTGCATACCCAGCCATGTCACACAAGCATCGCTACTTTCTGTTCAGTGGCAGGCTTAGCCATCGGCCGCAGCCTCTTCACACCAATGACACGAAACACTGCCGGACAATGGCGCACCACTGTTTGCAAATCTCTCTTAGCCTCAGTCGGGTCTAATCTTTGTAATAAGAAAAAAAGTCCTTGAGGAAGCTTTCACCAAATCACATCTTGACCCCTAAATCATTCTTGAAGAAGGTCATTTAATTTTATGCAAAGAAATGAACAATTAAAATGGCTTAAGCAGAAATAGTACTGGTCTGGAAATGAGAAAGATGGAAGATTCTAGTGCCAGCCCTGGGTTATGCTAGTTGTGCGACCTCGGTGAGCCCTCTTGTGGGTCTCCCGTTTCCCCATCTGGAAAAGGGGGAGGTTTGGGGGGGGGGGATGCTCTCTTTACCCAACAGTTGATGAAAATGGAGGTCTGTTAGGGTGTCCTGAGTCAGAACACCAAGGTAAAAAAAAAAAAAATCTGATTCCCTCAGCACTTCCTCTGAGAAGACCAAATGATGCAAACCAGGCCCTTTTGCCTCCGTGACGGCACGTATAAAATCAGAAACATTTTAGCTAAAAGCCATCTTAGAATAATAGTTGACAAGCAGAAAACGCTAAAGCCAGTGGTCTGTTCTAACTAAGCCTGGTTTAAATGTACACTGTGTTGAATGGAGTCTCATTGAAACGGTCCATTTCAGCTGGATTCCGGAGCTGAAGTGGAAGCCCACGCAATTATCCTGGGCACTCAGGACAGTCCAGAGAGCTCATGTGGACGATTGGACAAATGAGGATTTTCTTTTGCCTCAATTGACCAGATAATTGTGCACAAGACTCTGCCATTTGGCTCTGTGGAATGTCCCTTTGTGTGGTAAGAAGACTCGGCCGTAGATGGTGGAATGACGTCAAGGGGTGTGGGGCCGCGGACAGGACGCACACAGCACACGGCTGACGCCCACTACCTAACTCCAGGTCCTAAACCTGAGCCACTTCCGGACGAGCTGAAGTTTGGTTGTCCACCCAGGGCCCTCACCGGTTCATTCAAACACTCATTGTTTTGAAGGGGGGGGGCGTGTTTTCCCTCAATTTCTAAACAAAACTAAATAAAAACATCAGGCAACAAGGTTACAGGTGGCATCTGGGTGGTCAAGGGAATTTGGAGAGAGAAAATCAGGAGTTTCTAAGGGGCCTCATTTATAAGTATGCACAGAGCTGAGTTCCAAAGCGTAGCTACCATCAGATGGACCAAGCCTGCCTACCTAAATCTTAGAGAAGTGGAAACTCATGATAATGCACCAAGGAACAGCACCACCAAACCGCTGTCCTGTTCTCCCTACACCCAATGAATGACTGGCCTGCTGTGAAGACATGTCAGCCAAGTCTCTCCAGATGGTTTGCACATGTTTTGACTAGAGTAAGGGATCCTGGTGATCAAAATAAGGTAGAATAACATTCTGTACTTTTAAATTGCGACACAGATTCTGCTAGGCGAGATGAGTCCTTTTGCTGTGGCCACACACTATAACAGACAGACCAGGAAGGATTCTAGGCTACTCAAACTTCGGTTTATGATGCGAGTTCTTACAGGATGTTCACTGAAGTCAGCAGGGTAAATGTGTGCCCAGCCTGTCCTGCGACAGTCGCTGGGGCATTCCAAAGGAACCAGCCAACAGCCCACACTTCCACCCTGGCAAGCCAGGCACACCTGAGGGCCAGGTCCCCAGCCTTCCAGCTCTCCGCTCAACAGGCAACGTTTCCAACTGTACCGCAAACACTTGCACTGCCATTTCAAGAGGGGCCACTCAACAGTCTGGGAAACTCACGAGGCTACCACGCAAGCAGCACACACACCCCCGCCCACAGCTTCTTCCCGCTCACAGGCGCCTTCATTTTTACGGCAGTCCCCAGCAGGACGAGTTCTTCGATGTTATCGCTGGTCTAGAATGTTCTTGAGCCTGTGGGAAAGCTCTACCCTTTCAGAGAGAAAATGGTTCTTGGACAGACTCAGTGGCTCATGAGCAGTTAGTTGGGGGATGTAATGTCTAGTCCAAAACTGGGGTACGGGCAGTTAGGAGGCCATCTCTCTCACCAGGCTCTGAGGACAATGAAGGACCAGAGCCCAGAGGCATCGCGAGACTAAACAGCAGCTGGCTAAGGTGACTACCTGGAGACTCTGCTCCTGTTCTCGTAGGTATAGATGCTGATGTTGAACGAAAAAGACCCCACGGTGCTTTGAAACATCTCCCATTGGGTACATACGGCTGAAAGCTAACGATTAGTTGACAAAGAGCCATGCCAGCCTTTGAGGAGGAGACACAAGACACAGTCGAGGCAAAATACAGTTCTGGCTTTCAGTTCAACTGGCAAACACTATCCCTGAAGTTATCGGGGTAACAGGATAGGGAACTTTCAAAGTCATTTAGGCTTTGGGTCTATGGGTAAGAATTACTTCTCAACAAGGCACATATACTACAATTTTATTTGGAGATATCCAAATGTTTCTTGGTCTGTATATAAAGCACACATTTTCATAAGAAAAATAATGATCTGCCTTTTTGGTAATTTCCCTTTTTGTAATACTGGACAGTGAACAGATCGGTCCCTTTGAAAGTGTCCATTATATAGACAGATGTCAGGCAAAGGCCTCAGGCACAAACAGTCATCAGCCCAACAATCACAGAAGCAGCCAGGCCCTCCCATAACACACATGCTTTGGAAGAAAACATGAACCCCATTGTTAAAATTAATACTAGGATTGCAGGATGTTCTTCAATCAGCATGATTGCTTTATTATACAAAAACTTTCCAGTAACAGTAAATTAGTTTTTAAAAAGGACAAAAAAAGTCATGTTGGGTAGAAGCGCGTCACTAATTGCTTTATTTAAGCACACAAGAAAAAAAGTCTTATCTGACCAATTAGGTTGGAAGGGTTTTATTACCTTTAAGAAGCCATTAGCTAGGATAAAACACTGAAAGCACTTGTGTCAAAACAAATAAATAATGCCCTCTCAATTAGGAGAGAAAGCGGTAAATCCGATAAATTAAGAGACATACACTGCTTCAAGCCCATGGCGACGCCAGCACCCTCCCACCCCCAAATTAATAAAATAAGAGACAGTAGATTTCAGTTACAATCTGGGGAAAGATCGGGAGCGTTGGAGACCTAACAGTGAACATTGACATTTGTCCTCTTGCACGGGTCAACAGGGCCACCCCAGGACACGTCAAGAGGGCAGGTGTCCCGGGGCGCCCAGAAGGAGCCATCGCTCCCACTTCTCCTCAGGGAGAATCCCAGGCAAGGGGCGAGGCCGCAGCGAGCGCTCATAACCGCCAGACCCCACCAGAGCCTGCAAGCGAGCGGCCTTCCCACAGACAATGGCCGTCAGCTGGTAAAGGAACCTGGGTCCTTAGGGGGAAAGAGTGGCCCCGAGCTACCAGGGCACCATCACTCATTTTCTCTTACTTCGCCCAGTGCTGCTGATCTCTCCCCAAGTAAAGACTAAACAGAAAAATACAGTGTTTGGAGGAGCCCAGCACGTCAGCGCACAGGCTCTGGGCCACTTCTTCCCTTGGGACACAGTGATGGCAGCGGACAGCTCGCGCTTTCGCTGGCAGTGCCCTGGTTTCAGTAGGAATGGTTCAGTTCCCGTGCCCCACATGAGATCCTTAAAACCATTTCTAATCAGATCCATTGTTTTACCCAAATAGGTTGAAGGGACAAAACCAACCCTAATCGCCCTATTCACTTAGAATAAATAAAAGGTGATCCTTTCTTAAAGTGTCACTTTCCTTCAAGGATTAGTAAGACTCAATAATCCACTATTACCATCAGAGACTGTCTGGGAGGGAAGGCCCCTGACCTCAACACCCCAACTGCTAGGAGCAGCTGGTCTAGACTGGCTGGGACTAAAAGACACGACAGCCACCTTCAAGGCCTGTCGACGCCCCGCATTGCAGGAGCAATCCAAGGGGGCTGCGTTCTTACTCCCTGTCCTTCTTTCCTAATAAATAACTGTCTGTCAGGGAGCACCGAGCTATTTCCTGAAACGCCAGGGAGATCGTCGGATCATTCCACAGCCACATCCGTAACAGTGGCTGCCCGGCGTCGTAAACAACTCGGGGGGCAAGGGCTGGGCCAAGGGGTTGGGTAGTTGGACAACTTGAATCTCTGGACGTGAGTTTAAATTCCTAGAAACAACCTCAAAGTCAATTCTAGAGAGGCATTTTACGTAACTGGTCCCAATAAAATGTAGCACGTCAGAGGTAAAACAATGGAAAAGCCATCAAAACTTACACAAAGACCATTAAAACGGTACCGGTGTCTGAAGGCCAATTAAAGCATGAACAACTTCAGTTTTCAAAGTTATCATCACTTTGCACATTATTCTACAGTTCCAGGAATATATTCAAGCACCATATTGATAGTAGGTAAGTAAACGACAGAGTCCGACCTTGGCGATCCGCGCCGCCGCCCTCGCACAGACGAGGGAGTGCCTCGCCAAGGTCTGCACAGCCCGCAGGAGCAATGCCTGCCTACTTTCTGGGCATGTTAAGTGGCAATGGGAGAGCCAAGAAATTAAACCGCTGGTGGGATCTTTTACTTTGAAATAGAGTGATGTTTGGTTAATAATTTGAGATCCAAATGGGGTGACCCATTTAGAATGGCCTCTGTGTAAAATCACAGCTCATTAAACGGTGTCTGGTTTGAACAGGTCATTACGTCGTTAGTATCTAAGCAATGGATTGAGAACAAGGGCTGGGGACGCGCACAGGGACACACTGGCCGGTTCTGGTGACTTTCACAACACTACCAAGCTTCCTTTTCATGTGAGGTTGATTCAAATCACCAACTTTTAAATTTAGGTGGTTTTGCTTAGTAACCCCTTTTGGTTTACAGTAGAAAATGCAATGCACAAATTTTAGATGAGGAATCCTCCATTTACAATTAATTTAAACTTATGAAGCTGTTTTAACTGGACCATCTAAATGTGTTAATTAACATCAATGATGGTTTCTTATTTTTCACACTTTGTTACTCTGATCATTAACAGTGATGGAAAAGCTAAATTAAGTTAATGAGGAACGGATTATAAATTCTTGAAGGACTTCTCAGTTTATTTTCAACTGGGAAATATATAGAGAAAGATGAAGAGGCATTTTTGCCTCTACTCATAAATTTTTGGTACCAAATTTCTTAAAAACCAGATGGTTTTCAAAAAATTTTTTCCAAAAATTATTTAACATGCTGCTCAGACATGACTGCTAAAAAAAATAGCATATACACATATAATATCGAACAGCTTACGAAGAAGTGCCTGTAAACGTCCACCTCATTTCCTCTTTCTAAAAAAAATATATTATAACTGATGATAACTCCATCTCTATTTCTGCAGCAGTATCAAAGGTCCTTAAAGTCTTGACAGTGAAGGAAAAACAGAAGCCCACTCCCCCGGCTTGAGCACGACTGTGACGAGGAGTCCACGGGAACGCGTGCTGCCCCCACGCGATGGGGCTGCACCTCCGCAGGCAGCCCGGGGCGCGGCCCAGCCCCTCGCGCCCGCGGAGGCAAGCACGCAGCGCACACAGACCAACGCCGCTTAGCGAGACTTCACGCCGACGAGGACAACAATGAGGACAATAATGATGACAAATAATATTAAAATCACAAGCATCTTCCGATTCTTCTTTTGATACTGCTCTGCCTACAGAAAGAGGATGGAAAAAAGGCAGTCATTTTCCCCCACATCCAAAATCCAGTCTCGCTCATCTCCAGTCCTAGGCTTCCGGTCCCAACTGTAGAGCTGACAGCTCTGCTACAGGCCACATGGTTACAATCCCTTCCATCAATTCTCGCGAATCCAATCAACACGGGTGGAAAGGTCCACAGGTGCCGACTTCCCGTCTCCCCAGGACTCACTAAGGCGTGGGTTTGGGATCTGCCCTCAAGAGGAAGCTGGCAGAAGTCGAGGCTCTGCGTTCCGGGCCAGACACACCTGCTTCTCCTCACCTCCACTTCCATCCACTGAGGAGCCATGCCGGGGATGGAGTCCTCCCATTTCTGGACAGTTCTTTGGATAAGCACACACCTTCACTAAGAAATCAAACTACTGGCTAATAGAGGGTGCAGGGCGGGGGGGACTGATGGCTCCAAAGAAGCTTGATTTCTACCTCCCTGCATTTGGCAACAAGGAGAAGGTCCATACTTTGATATAAACATGGGAAAGTGCAGAAAGGACCCCCGAGACACGTCCCCGTGCTGCTGATGACGCAGCAAGGAGGACCTTCCAAATGCGCACACCCCCTGCTTCACCTGTGCACATCGGCCTGGAAGCCCCCACAGGACAGTGTCCTGAGTGACGCCATGCCTGTTGTGCAGAAACACGACCAGAGGAAGGACAGAGAAGAGTTATGAGAGTCTCTAAGCACACTGAGGGGGAGCACAGCCTGCCTCTCCGGGCGCCACTATCCAACGGTGAGGGACAAGGAGGCAGCCTGATGGAGTTGCCCAGCCCCGGGGGTCCTCCTTCCAGCACCCTACCAACCTGACTGCTAGTTCTGTTTGCTAAGTGAGCCGACCCACCCACCAGGACCACTCATCAGCCAGGACAGACTGGCTAACCAGCCTGCCCGTGTGAAGCGACTCCTGAGGCTCAGTCATCCTCAGATGAGCTGACTGCCAAGGAGACAGCCAGCCATACCACCAGATAAGACGGAGCATGCTTACTTTTCCAATAAGTAACCCAAAACACCAGGGAAGCCAAAACTAAACGATATACTTTCAAACCTCTCAAAATGATTTATAAACGAGAATCCAAACCAAAATTTTTAGTTCCCACTAGATCTGCACACTCCCGTGGAGAAAACATCTCCCTTTATCTGTGTTCTATTACAAAACGTGCTGCACTAGTTTTTAAGAAACTTCAAAACCAATGCATAATTCCACAGCAGATCAAAACCTGGGTATCACAGGGCGAGAAACTGAAGTTAGTTTCACTCTTTTAATACACAAGGCTTGGCGACCAACTAAATCTACATGTTTAAAAAGCATCTTCTTTCTCCTTACGTGCCGGAGGGTCATGCCCACCCTGTATGTGGGACAAGCCCACGGAAGAGAGTGAAGGGTTTCCAGGCAGACCTGTGAGACGTGGCCTCACTTTGTGTAAACCTGCTACTACTATTACATAGGCCCTCTGTGCCTTAGGAAGCGACTGATTTCAGACAAATGACAGAGCAGTAAATTAGTGCATTAGAAAAATGCTCAGGACACAGCTAGAAATACCACTGGGTCTGAAAGATACAAGGAAATGGACAGAATTTATTTTATTTGTGAAGTATTATATTCCTTTAAAAGAAAATACGCACCTAATTACATATGAGAGCCACTCAGCAGCATACGTATGTTTCTCATAATTCATTACAAGATTTCTAAGATGCTTGTCATTTATTTTTAACAGATATCATGAAAAATATTCCTGAAATAGCCACCTTATTAGCAAAGAATAAGACGGCTAATAATCCTCTAGCTTCAACAAAGCACTCTTTTTTCTCAAGGTAAGTACACAGCTACAGTGTGGTCATTAAAAGGGAAAATTAGATTTCTAGCTTCTCCAGATGATTCTCCACCAGCAATTCATCAGAAATGTGTCACAGCATGAGAGGCCTGCGTCAGCAGCAGCCAGTAAACAGAACATTCAACACGTATTTTGGGAAACGCCCATTCAATTGATTTCCTAAAACAAGAAGACTCAAAGAATGGAATATTTTCTAAAAGGAAGAAAACCCAATTCCTTTAGAATTTACTGTCCACAGAAGGAAGTTCTCAGCAATTTCAAATCAAAGTGCGAGGCACACCTGGAAACACTGCCTAAGGCAAAGTGGCAACAGCCCCCATGGCTGGCTTTGAATGAAACAACGCCATCCATTTCCCCACTAAGACCGGCCATGTTCCCACTACGTCGACAACAGACAAGAGTGCGGAAGACAGCTATGGCGGAAGAGAACCCTCTTATGAATTCTTGATATTTGATAACAGTTGCTCAAATTCTCAACTATTGAAAGACAGGATATTACCTTGTGAAGCTGTTTCAAGCCATCTTCAGTTTTGATACAGGACTGTTCAACATTATAGTCAATTCTATCAAGGACTGTACCCTGAGTAATAAATGACAGTTACAGACAATCAACAACCGCAACTGGGAAAATTGAACTTCAGAAATGAGCTATGCAGACTGCAGACATCATTATGCACAGGATTATCTGTTTTACTTAGCCGTGCTGGAGAGGGGCACGCAGGAAGCTCTGGGGTGCATCATCCGGCAGCATCAGACACTCAGCGGTACAGTACTGTGTTAGTTGCAATAAAGTCTAGCTCATGAGAAAGACATACTGACAAATTGGGCTTTCTTCTTTGGATTCAGACACTATAGGATATGCCACGTTCAGACTTACTGGTGCTTTAAAAAAATATATGGTTCAGCGGAAACAGGCTCTGGGAGGAGAGGGGCTAGCTTCTATGCCCATTTGCTGCTTAAATACTTGGATTCAAGGAAGCAGAGAATGGCAGTTAAGCGGGACCTGGTTATGATTAGGCCTGGAAATTGACTATCACGTCTACAAACGTCAACACAGGTCTCCACGGGTCAGAGCAGTGACAGTAAGCGCCAATCCCCATGTGCAATTACACATTTGCCTCAAGGAGAATTTTGTTTTTAATTGCTTAATCTCTTGGTTCAAATAGAAAAAAGGGAACACTGGGCTGTATGGAGGAACAGGGCTCTTAACAGAAGCACGCTGTATTAGAAGAGATAGCAAGTGCAGCCCCTGGGAACCACAGGAGTAATTAATGTAACTAGATCTTCCACAGCCTTAACACTCCATTCTCAGCTGGTTTCAGGGGGGATCAGGACCCAAATCCCTACTGGCAAGATAATAAAATATCCTAATCAGATTTTAACAGTGAATAAACAATTTAATTCTACTTGAAAGCTAGTGGTTCCAGTCGCCATTACACAATAACCTGCCAAAATTAGAAGGGAAATCTTATCTATTGCCAGAATCATTGCTGAGCATGGGCAGAACCCACCAGACCCCCAGAGTCAGGCGTTCCCATGAGCACCCTGGGGCAGAGAACATGAGAGCTCCTATTGACATTTATTTATCTAAAAAAATGGTTTATTGTTTTTTATAGAGACTAATAGTAGTATGTGTATATAATTTGTACAGATGCACACATGCATAGGTGCGCACTCACACACAGACAGACATACAGTGGGCTCGCATTGTTTTTTTTCCCCCTGACAGGAGGGCAGAGCTAAAAGAGTGTGGAGAAGGGCCCGGTTTTATGGCAGGAGAACCCAGCGATGAGGAAGGTAACTCACGTACCTGCTCTACAATCATGGCTCCTAAGTCCCTAAATATCTCATTGAGGTCAGAAATAGACTGCACGATCTGGCGAATCTCTCGCTCCCTCTCCTCCACCATCAGTGTGTTCTGTTCCACCAGCACTAGCTGCTCATCTGTAAAACCCTGGCGAAACCAAAAAGCATAGCATTTGCATGTTAGCTTTCTCCCCCCTCAAGAAAGCTATGGTGTACCCTTTTAATTTAAAGAAAAGGAATTCTGAGACTATTTCTATAAAGCACATAAATGACATAGAAACACTTATTTTTCTCTAACAGAAGAGATCCAAATCCCCAAAACAAGCGGATCGAAAGCACTGGGCCAAAGCAGGGGACATGGAGAGAACCCTTTGTGTGCAGCCACGCAGGGCGGGCTATCAAAACCCGTGGGGTAACCCCAAGCGACCTTCCCGAAGGTTCTGGAAGGCAGATTACAAGGTCTCCCTGTAGCCTCTGGAAAGGAAGATACAGTATGGCCCCCATGACGGCTCTTCCGCCGGCTGTAAAAACTGCTTGATGGACATACAAGTCAGGCAGCGCTGGTCCTTATCTGCCTTGCACACACGTTACGGTCTACGAAGAGAAGGATGCAGAACGGAGCGCAAGTGCACAGCAGATGATTTCGCAGCCCCTTCACGTACCCGATCATAAAGAGTATTATCGTCTCCATCGTCCATTAGTGGTACTGATGTATCAAAAAAATGCTGGGATCTTTCCTCTCGATTCTTCAGGCCTATCATGGATAGGAATTCACTTTACTCGGATATGTAAACCATCCTGGTTACTGTTCCACCATTCAAAAGGGGAAATCTAGATTAAAACTCAACAGTCAAAATGGAAGATATTCTTAGCAGCTTTAAAAGAAGCCTAGCTCCAACAGAGGAGGGGGAGAGTAAAAGATTATAAATATACAACAATATGCAGGCATTTGGGGTTATTCAAAGCAAAATGACACTGTAAATGTGTAAATTCACTTGATGCCAAGTGAATGACAAAATGACACAACCATCTGAGAATCTGTAAGTGAAGCAGAAATATTTAATCTAACTGCTGTTATAAAACACTTAAAAAAATCAATATTTTTCTCTAGAAGCATCTCTAATAAAAATTCCAAATGGCCCTAAATCAAATTTTACAAGTAATAAAATTAAAATACAAATATGCCAGTTGCCAGAGGGAAGGAGAACTAGTTTTTTGGGGGGCTGTGGGGGATATGACTGATTACAGTGGCAATAAAGAACGAGTGTGCAGGGTAATTAGGCTGAGGATGCAGCTGAATCCTGACTGCACTATTTGGGGAGAAAAGGCGGGCTGAGGAAACCAGGAGTGGGAGCCAGGAGAGCGAGGCCTCAACCCCAGGGAGGTTTCTAGGTCCTCTCAAACACTTTGGTTGTTATGCAAACATGGAGCTTTAGTGGGATTAGGACTGCAAGTCTAGGGAGTCACAGGTTTTTATTGTGCTAGATTGAGTTTCAAGCTTGACACAGAATAAGTTTTGTTTTCCTAGATGTGAACTATTTGATACCTGTCCTCAGCCTCCATCAGGCATGGGTTCACATGGGGGGTGGGCGTGGGGGGCTCCAAACCTAACAATGAAAGGTAAAGGACCAAACGGGGAGCGAGTAGCCAGAAGGGGTAAGAACAGAAAGGTATCCCCGTGCGTGGGGCACAGGCACTCACGTCTGAGGTAGGCGGACTGCGCGCGCCGGAAGCTGGCGGACAGCTCCTGCACGGCCTGTGCCAGGGCGGCCCCCACGTTGCGGAGCAATCGCTCCTCCTGCTCCGAGCACGCCCTGCGGGCCCGGCTGGGCAGCGCCTGCACTGCACGCTGGCACCTGTGGAAGAGCTGACAACAAGCCCCGGGCTCACGGAAGGTCGCCACCGAGGGGCCCTGCAGTGCCAATGCCTCCTCCCTCGTGAGTCCCAGGGAGATGCAAAACGCTCTGTTCACACCGGCTGGCACAGACTGGGTGAGAGCACATGAAGGCGGTCTGACCAACGTATCCACGCGTGCTGTGTGCAGGGCACCCGTTCTCATTTAATCCCCACCCCCATCCTGTGAGGCAGTGGTGCTATTATTCTCCCCATTCTACAGATGGGAACACTGGAGTCAAAGGGATGAACGGTGACTGGTGCCCTTGTGGCACTGCTAAGAGCCAAGATGCTAACGTCCCTACACCCCAGGTCATTTCCCACAGCCCACACTGCCTCCTCATTAGCACCCAGGAGACTTAAACAAAAAAGGCAAACACTCAAGTTTCAACACTAGTCAGTACTTAAAAATTACTCAAACTCAGCATTTTATAAGAAATTTCTCTAGGACACTAATGTACTCAGTCTGGGGAAATAGCTCCCCCTCTTCTTCAATCGTGAGGACCATTTTTAACATAAGAAATGCTTAGACACTAGCATACAATGTAAGTTATACATTTGATCATCAAACGATTGAACTTCGGAATGCTCTGGGTTTCATTTTAAAAATCCACAGTACTATCTACCCACAACCAAAGCACAGTCCCCACCCCACAAGCTGCGGGGCACAATGCTGACATCTGGGGGAGGGCGGGGCAACGAAACGCCAGGGCTGCCCTGCCATCTGACTTAGAGTTGTACCAGTTATGGCTTCTGAGCCGGTCCTGCGAAGGCTGGGACCTGCCCCGCCCA